ATTACTCGGGCAATAAATATTGAAATAGTTAAAAAGTTTACTTTTTTCTTCCTTTAGGTTCCTTTTGGGTCAGCTAAAGAACTTCTGTGCAGACTTCCTAGTGAAGAAGTTGAGTCTATCCAACTGTGTAGCCGTGCACAGCCTGGCACACATGTACAGTCTGAATGAACTCGCTCTGGAAGCTGCCGAGAAGATCAGAAGAAACTTCCACAGAGTTATTCGCAACGAGGAATTCTACACTTTACCGTTCCACCTAGTGCGAGACTGGCTGTTGGATTCTGAAATCACAGTGGACTCTGAGAAGGAGCTGTTTGAAGCGATCGTGAAATGGGTTCACCAAAACCCGGAGGAAAGGGAGAGGTATTTTGAAGAGCTGTTTAAGCTCGTTAGGCTTCCTCAGATTCCTCCTACTGACCTGACGCGTTTGGTTAGAAAGGAGCCTTTAGTCGCAAACAGCTCGGTGTGTCAGCAGCTGGTGGTCGATGCGCTGGAATATCATGCTGTTTGCTCCGAGAGCGTCAAATCGGGTAGCTTGGATCCATCTACCTTGTACATGGCAGCCATCCACCCACGTCTTGGTGAGAACATGGATGTGATCATGGTGATCGGGGGTGTCTCAGAGGGCGGGGAATACCTCAGCGAATGTGTGGGCTACTTTGTCGCAGAGGATCGCTGGGTCAATCTGCCCCACATTCACAACCATCTCGACGGTCACGCCGTCGCGGTTGCAGGGGGCAACGTTTATGTGGCGGGCTCCATGGAGCCAGGCTTCGCAAAGATGGTGGAACGATACAACACAAGCCTCAACTGTTGGGAGGATGTCAGCAGCCTGACCACGCGAAAGCACTCCTTTGGCCTGACGTGCGTCAGAGATGTCCTCTACGGTATTGGCGGTCATGGTAACTTCAGTCCAGGCTTTAAGGATGTAACAGTCTATAAACCAGAGCAGGACGAATGGATCAGCCTTGAGCCAGCGCCAAAGATCCTACGAGATGTAAAAACAGTGAGCGTAGATGATCGCTATGTGTATGTGATGGCCAGGACCCCTGAAGACATAGACCACGATGATGGACTGAGCACTGTGACCATGTGCTATGATACGGAGAGTCTCAGGTGGCAGGAGGTGCACTCATTACCTCTGATTGATAACTACTGTATCTTTCAAATGGCCGTCTCGTCCTCAACCTTCTACCACACCGCTTCCTGCTGCCCAAAAGCTACAAGGTAACATTTGAGACCGCTCAGCAGAAAGTGAGCAGAACAATCCCAGAGGAGATCCTCGACAGCCTCCCCTCAGAAGTTCTCGGCATGGAAGGAGCCGCCATCTGCTTCCTGGGTGAGGATGTCTTCGTCATCGGCGGGTGGAGGAACAGCGGCAACTTGGACAGGCAGTACCGCAAGGAGGCGTACCGTTACTGCGCAGAGAAGAAGCGCTGGACGCTGCTGCCGCCCCTACCCCAGCCGCGCTGCCGGGCGGCGGCCTGCCACGTCCGCATTCCATACAGATACCTTCGAGGCAACCAGCGCTTCCCCATGCCACAGAACCTGGCTCGCCAACGAGACCGAATGCAGCATATGCAGCAGCTCCAACGACGCACACTCAGCCTGCGGAGACAGATGCACTCTCAAATTGAATGCTAATGAAGGATTAAAGATGCACAGGAAAACAAGCACTTTTTCTGCAGATTTGTGCCTTCTTATTTGTTGTTGTTATAATGGAGGTTTAAGGTCTACCTGGAGCTGGCTTGAAATGTAGGAAATCACTGTTAGGACTCAAGATTTAAAGTTAAACTAATTTTTTTGGGTTAGCTGATCGAATCCATTTCTTTGTTAAGGGTTAGGGTTTATTTGTTTCCTTTACTTTATCACGGCTTATTCATTTAATCACTACAGACAGGATAAATTAAAATCTTAATTAAAGAGTTAAGTAATGACAGTTGCAGACATAAGTGTGGATGAATCATGATTTGGTTTGGTCTAATTTTTTATAGAAATGATAGAAAAAAGAAAAGCCGAAATATTTTTGTCATGTTCTTTAATTTTCTTAATTTCACAAAGATTTTTCACTATTAAAGCTGTTTCCATTATTCTGAAATTGTTTTTGTTGTTGATGAATATGAATTGAACTTGGTTGTGTCTAACCTTGCTTTACAAAAACTATTTTCTTAGTTTGTTGGAATCTATCCAGGGTCATCTCAATAATTAAGAATATTCTTAAAAAGTTGAATTCAGTTACTTATTATCACACCATTAGTATCGGTCATCATGATCATTTTTCTGCTTGCAGGCAATGATGGATCAAGATTAGAATATATATGTCAGACAAAAAACATTTATAATTAGAAAATGTTTTCTTTTTACAACTCAAAAGTGGATTATCCTAAAAGTAGAATTGATTTTAAAAAAGTCTCATTGTAACACATCATCATTTTTACTGATGTGCCTCTAATGTACTCAAAACTTTTTACAATGGTTGCGTCAGCTGCCAAATCAGGAAAATCAGTGATATTTATCACAATATTAAACAATGTATTTTCTAGAAATTAGTAGTATAGTGGTCTCATATCATCCAAGTTAAAAGCTTTTTTTTTTAATCTAATATTTTTTTTTTTCTTAAAAGTTTCTTTTTTTTTTTTTTTTGATGAATGCTTACAAAAAGTTCACATAGCTTTTTCATTAGATGGGATAGGGGATTAATTTAGGTAAATTAACATTTTTCACAACTATATAACATTTATATTTCCACGAGTCTTCTTTTTCTAGATTTATGCTGACCTAAAAGATATTTGAATTTACTTTTTCACTATACACAGAAACAGCATTTTTAATGTGCTTCTGGAGCAGACGTAGAATATTCTTTTAAATAAAAAAAAAAATGTAAAAGATACTTTTAATTGGCTTTGTCAAAAAGAGGAGCAGTTAAAAGTGGTCGTGTTTCTCAACATCTTTATCCCTATAAGCTCTTCTTGTTTTGGGTTTTCTTTTTCCAAGAAGAGCAAATATTCTCATTGGAGAAGAAATTAACTGTTCGAATAATAATATAATGCTGAAATTATTGAATGAAAATAATCACACCTCTCATGTTCTTCTACTGTTCCTGTAGCTCTGAAGTCAAAAGACTGAAGCTGCTAGAAAAACACTCAGCTAAAATCTGTTTGCATATAATTTGCTTTCTACAGAAGAACATGATGTCATAATTTTTTGTTTATTTTTACTAGAAAATATACCTCCTCAAAACAAGCTAGCAACACATAAAAGCCACTGGTGACATCACAAAAGGCACTTGGAAGTTATTTTGATTACCTCATTTATACCTTATACCTTGTATTTATATCTCAATTCTTTGTAGGTTTTATTCAAATTGCTCCTTAGGTGTCTCTCCTTGTATTTTGTGCATCTGCAGCAAAACTTGAGAATTGTATATAATAACAGCATTTATTCCATAAAATGCAAAGAGGCGGTTTGAGAGGCAGTCCAGAATAGACTGGAATTTCATAACCAAATATCTTGGGTAATAATAGAATCCTATGATATCAGTATATTTATGATTCTTAAATCCAAACCAGAAGTGCTGCATGAGCTGCATCTTTTACTGAAAATAATTATCCTTCCTGGTTTCTTTTGCTAAATTTTTAGCAGAAAAAAATACTGACCTACATAGTGTTGTTAAAATGTTTTATTTGATTTGCACTTAAGGGATTCTAAAATTACACAAAATTAGATAACAAATGCTATTTTATCAGCAGAGAAAAGAAAATGCCGCTTTGCACTTGGCTTCGGGCCACCCCAGTGCATGCCGGAAGGGAGCCAGCAGAACCACATCATCCGCAAAAAGCAGCAACATAATCTGCTCCTCCCCAAACCAGACCCCATCCAGCACCTCGGCTGCACCTAGAAATCATATTCATAAAGGTTATGAACAGAGGGCAGCCCTATCAGAGTCCAGAATGCACCTTGAACAATGCAAACCAAACTCCTGCAACACTTGTAAAGAAACCAGGTCTGTAGACTTTTGGAAGCATACATAGCCCATTTAATATATTCTATTAACCTAAAGCAATATGCATGGTATGATTGTTACATGTCAGGTACGCCGGTCATTGACCCTGACCAATTCAGCTTACAGTAGAGTCCCTGGACTGACATGTGTATCACTGCCCCTACTTAGTTAGGGACTAATTTCCCACTGGGATTAGCTTCATATTCATAGTAGGCAACTTCTTTGATTTTATTTATTTTGCTCAGGCTACTTGTAAGCGCAAAGCCCGACAAATGATGAAAGGGCAATATTATTGTCATTACTGTTAATGTATAGTAGAAATTTTGCACATCCAGTAATAAAATGTCAAAGGGGATGGTATGGGGGGATGGTCATTTGAGAAGGGGGATGATTTTTATGCCAACCCCACTCAACTTGAGTACTGAATCGGATGGCCCCTAGTAAAGGGCCCCCACAGGGTCCCACAAGACACATGTTCAAATGCCTTCTCCAGGTCTACAAAACACATGTGGATTGGTTGAACAAAATTCCATGAATCCTTCAGCACCTAGGGTGTAGAGCTGGTCCACGAAAGGGACAAAAACCTCACTGCTGCTCCTGAAGCTGAGGTTCACAGTCAGCTGGACTCTCAGGCACCCTGGCAGAAAAAAAGCTGGTTTTCATTAAGTGATTCCATTAAGTGAGTAGCCAGAAAATGTATTCAAATAAGAGTACTGATAATTTATCATACGTTTACTCAAGTAAAAGTTTTAAAAAAAAAAGTACAATGTTGTAAAAATACTGCTAAAAAAAGTTTATTTTTATTTTTTAAGTTAACTCAAGTAAATTTAATTGAGTGGGGTTAGTTACTACCACAGTCTAAGACCATGTTTTGTTTTTATATATATATATAAATCTTGCTTTCTCTATTTGAAAATTTTTTGTACATTTTACTGCCAATACTGATTGAACAAAAAGTAAAACAAAAAAAAGGAACAGGAGGTAGGAAGCATTTAAGGAGGAAAGGTTCCTCCCGGAACCAAACATTGAGGGGAAGATGGGACTTTTTCTAATGTGACACATAAGAGTGCAGATTTTTTATTTTTATTTATTTATGTTCGAGGTTTTTGTATTTGCTATGTTAAACATTTTAAACGGTTTTTCGTAGGACGGGTTAGCACGCGGCTAACTTTCCGTTTGAAAATGGTGAGTAACGGAGTCAGCTGTTAGCGGCCCTGCTGCGGCGTACAGCTAACTAAAGCTAAATAATTGTTTCTATTTGCCATTAAAATTGCGAAACGTGAAGTGTTATTTTTAGATTATAATATAATAGATTTTTTTTACTTTTAAATAATGAATTCGGTGATTTTTAAGCAAGAATGTTTACGAATTTAACTGTTTCCAGGTTGTGGTAATGTGCATTTTGCTATGTAATAGAATCAATGTTAATATGTAAACGGAAGAAGTGAAATATTTTTCAAGTTTTATACTTTTTGTATTGGATTTAGTTAAAGCTGACATCCAATACGAGTACTTAAGTAAAGGGCTAATGCTCTATTTTTCAGGACTGTTGGGAACATATCAGTGTTTTTGTTGTGATTTCTGTAATGTATAAATTTATTATTTTTTTTTGACACTTTACATCCTTTGAAGACTCCAATTATTTCAATAATACTTTAATAATCCCAAAAGGAAATTCAGTAATTAAGATTAGTTAGTAAGATTGAATTCCCCAAACTTGGAATTATACTTGAGCTTATGGTAACATTTTAATATGAATAAAAAAAGGTAAAGAATGAAAATGTAACAATACATAATATACATTATAATGACGCATAGATTTATTATATTTCACTTTATCATCATAAAAGTATAATATAATCTTATTTCAAGCCTTGTTTTTTATTTTATTTTTGCATTGTAGAGATATGCTAAGGTTGAATGTACTTTGATATAAGAAAACGTTTTCTAAACTTCAATTGTTAATGTTTGTATCTTTAGTTTTATACAAAATTATTAGTTGTGTTGTGCCAGGAAGGCTGACTTGGGACATTTCTTTCTGAATCAGTTAAACTGCAAGAAATATTGTTTTGTCACTCAGAGCTGCACTTTCATTTGTTTGTAATCACCTCCCCCCATGTTTTTGCAGATTTATCAGTTTCCCTGGATCCATACTCCGGTGCGGACCGCCTTGGCAATCTGGAACCAGCTAACTAAAACTGATGTGAGGAATTTAATTCACTTAAATAAGCAGTAATATTACCACAAAACATAAACACATACCTACATTTAGAGGAGTGTCATGCAGGTTACCAAGCCAAGTCTGATTAGGCCAGTCTGAAACAGACTGGACCAATCACAGCACGAGAGGCGGGCCTATAATGCATCAGCACTTTTCTGTAACCATAAGAGTCAAGATTGCTGCTGCAATGGAGCAATGATTTATCGATGCTATTATTTTGTGTCCAGAAAGATCTGTTTAGATCAGTACAATTTTCCTTAAAGAAATGAAGAAAAAAAGGTTTTTGTGTCACATCCGTAGTTATTGGATTGGTTTTAAACAGTTTTTCCTCACTCTGTTAGTCCCACCTATGAAATCAAGCTCTACCAGCTGCTTTCCAGACTAATACGCAGTAAATACAGCGTAACTTGTCTAGCTGGCCTCGCTATAGTAAGTAAGCACTGGATACACACTGCACCAAAGCAGTTTGGGTCGTTACGTCTACGTTTTAAAGTAGAAAAAGGAGACATTGTTGATAGAGAAGACCGTTTGCTTATAGGGAACATTGCTTCAATCCCAGATGACAAATGGGAATTATTTTTGGTTAATTTTACAGTACATTTCTTACACATTGTTCCTTTTGTTCCCGAAAAAAAAAACAAGCAAATACCCCTTAATGAATTAGAAGAGGGTTTTTTTTTCTCTTTTTGTTAGATCCTAGAGCTGACTAAGAGCTCTGTGATGATGAGGGAGCGCAGCAGAGTGGAGGACACCATTCACTCCATGCAGAAAGCAGGAGCCAGAAGCCTGCAGGTGAGCCTGTCACTATTGCAAAATGTTGCTGTACGATAACCTGTCTCAGAAATTATTGCGATCAACTATTATTTTCTCCTGGGGTTTGAATTCATAGTTCTCCCACACTGCAGCTGTCGTGTTCAGCCTCGTAACCAACTCCATGTCTTGTTATTCCAAAGCTCAGCTGGCTCCCCAGGCTTTACCAATTACACTATAAGGGGAGGAATGGGCTCTGACCGATGTACCAGAGTAAAACCTAAATCTGTAGCAGAATATGGGAGATATGAGGAAAACGAACATGCAAACATAAATTATTAAGTTCATTTCAATCTGTTATGTGATTCATTATTGTTTACAGCAGTTCACGTTCCTTGGTTCTAAATAAACATGGGGATGTTTAATAGTTTCCATTTAGTGGCTTTCCTCCGAGAACCTAATACAAACTCTGCTTCGCTTGTACAGTTGGAAACAAACTCTTTTGAAATTTCTGTTTAATTAGCTCTAGAAATAGTTGCAAGAAACTCACATGGCACATTCTGTTTTCACTTTTGTTTTGTTTCGACGCACCTGTGTGCCACTATTGAGTTATTATTTTGCTTTCATAGGTTATCTCAGACTTTGATATGACGCTCACCAGATTTGCTTACCAAGGAAAGAGGGTCCCCACCACGCACAGTAAGACCAACAACCTTTTTATATTCTCATATTATTTTTAGGATACTGCTTTCATGTGTCCAGATGTTACATTTCAATTCAATTCAATTCAGTTTATTTATATAGCGCCAATTCACATCACAAGTCATCTAAAGGCATTTCACAGTTCACCAGATCATACAGTCAAATTGATTCAAAGTTTTCTATTTAAAGAAAACCAGTTGATTGCGAATTCACTATTTTATTTACTTGTCAGGAGCTTTATAAAGATAAGCATTTACTTTGAAAGACATGCAGGACACCAAGATTTAAGAGGCAGCGCTTTATAAAGATTTGTGGAAGCAAAAATATTTTGTGCTTATTTTTCCTTTAACACCTAAAAAAGTCTTCACATTCTAATCATGTCCTTGTTTTTTTCAGACATCCTTAATAACAGGTTGTTGATAAATGAAGACTCCACAAAAAAGGTAGTTAATACAAAGAAGATGCCATTCTCATACTTATATTTATAAATATTAGTTGTATACAAATTAAAAGCATATTTTATTTGTTATTCTATATATTTCTATGTAGATCTCTACATTTAGAGCAAATTGAAGCAGAGGTGAACTTCCTTGTGTTTGATTAGGTCCATTCGGTCCAATGTAAAGTGGTATTTTGTATGTTAGCATTTCAGGTTGTTTATTTATTTTTGCTGTTTTGTTGCAGATGAAGGAGTTGTTAAATAGATATTATCCCATAGAAATTGATGCAAACCTCAGTCCTGAGGAGAAGCTGGCCTATATGGTGGAATGGTGAGAAAAACCCTTCGAAAAATATCATTTAGGATGGATATGCTTTATTCCGTATCCAGTTATTAAAACGTTTTATTTGAGCAATTCTTATTCAGAAATTGAATGTGTTTTTTTTTTATATTGTTTTATTATGCAGTGTAATACATGCTTTTCAATCTTTGACTATTATGACTATTACTATGAAAGTCAAATAAAATCCAAAAGGATGTGTTTTAGAAAATTCAATAAGGGATAAAAATTGACTTTTCATTCAATTTTTTTTTTTTTATATATACTGCTGGGTTGAAAGTTGCTCTACAAGGAAGGAAAAGTAAAGAAGATTCTCCAACTAAGCTCATTAGATGAAAGTTGAGTGGAAGGAAAAAAAGGGTTAGAAAAATCCATAAGCTTTTTGAGATGATAGTGAAATGAAGGAGTTTTTCATATTTTGAACTGTGGGTGAATTTAAAGCTTCAGGGTCACCACACAGAAACCTGAGCACCTACGAGTAGGGAGGGGGATTGTCTTACAACTTTAAAGCCCTTCACGATTTCCTCTGTTGATGAACTTTATGGAAAGGCCGGTTTCATTTTGCAGAAGGACTTGCTCCTTCACATGCTGCAGCACAGCTGCCTGCTTTAAAGAAGTCAGATAAGAGCTGTTATTCATAACCAGGCCACTGTAAAAGAGCTGAAGATTTCTTCAACACCTTATCAGACCCGCAATCTGATCAATTTCATGCTGCATTGATGTTGCATTATATGCAAATGCAGCCTATACAATCCAATCATATACTATCAAATGTGTCTAAATGAATGTATATAAACTCATACAAGATTAATATATCAACTTTTTAATGATATTCTAGTTTGAGGTATAATCTAGAATTTATGTGAATGCCTGCATTAGAAAATAAAATTCCTTTAATATTAGAAAAAGGGAAAAAAAAAAACAAAGTTAGGATTATATTTTGGTATCCACATGAGGATGTGAAACTTTTCCTTTTGCTCTGCAGTTGGACTAAAGTCCATGAGCTGCTGATTCAGCAGAGGATTAGGAAAGACATGCTGGCCCACGCTGTCAGGGAATCCAGTGCCATGCTCAGGTAACGGCTGTTACTGCTGTATCCTTCAAGAACAAAAACATTGTTTTAATCCCAGATGCTGTAAAATCCAGCATCTCTATGCTGTTCTGAGATTTAAGTGTCTTAAGAATATTATTCAGAGGTCCAGAGTTTTATTAAAAAGAAAACAAAAATCCAAAAATCATTTCTGATCCAGAATTCTTGTTTTTTTTTGTTTTGTTTTGTTTTTTTCCAGATTAACAATAACTTAAACGGAAGGCTTTTTACATCACTGATATATAAGAGATAGAAATACTTATATTGTCTGTTTTTATTTTTTTTTATTAATGAAGCTACTTTAAGCTTTCAAGTTAAATGTTTTGGCCTCAGTGTTAAAGTGCTGATGTGATATTCTCTGGTACTGTAACCTTTATAGTAAAAATATTTACCTTAAATAGGATCTAATTGCTTTTGTTTATAACATGAAAAAAAAACAATATTTAATTGTACTCCTTCTCAGTTACTATAAAATGAAATATTAGACATGTTATCAGATTTGTTTTTTTCTATCTTGAGTTTGATGCTCAACTTTGTAGTTCTAAAATGCTTTTAAAAAAATAAATGTTTTTTTATCTATGCAGGGCAAACAATGGTCTTATTAGGAGTGATAAGTAGTGCTTTTTTAGTTAGTTTAATAGTTTAAAGTTGTAGTAATAGAATCAGAAAAGGTATTTGGAGCTAATATTGGGTTTCAGTATTACCAGAAAGCGGCTCATGTCTGTCAGTGATATAGTTTTGATTACAGAAGATCCACAAAAAAGATTCTTTGAATTATTAGGACTTTTACAGAGCTTAATAATAAGACTGAAACACTTAAAAAGGATAATGTACCACAAATTGTTTTTATATAGACTTAGAATTTCTCTGGATTAAAGCAGGAGATTAGGACTTTGATGTCTTGAGACATTGGAAGCTTTTTATACGTTTATGTTCTACCTTAAAAGTATGAATAAACTATTAAAGTGAATAAATAAGTGAATTAAACGCCTTTCTAAAGGAAAGTGATCTATTTAGGCAATTTTAAAGCTCAGATGGAAATTCCTAAGTGTGTCAGTGGCTCTTTCATAGCTGTATAGGTACTTGGGGATAATAAAAACTCCTAAATTTTATTGTGTAAATATTTAGAAACTCTCTGGACTCTGCTTAGTTATTTTGCTGAAATATTTATCAAACAAGCAGGAAGTTTTGTAGCATTATTTGCATTTAATTTTATACCTGACAAACATTTTGTCCTTCCATCTTCATTAAAGGTGATGAAACCTGTCTAGAAACCAACAACTGATGGTTTTTTTCAGGCAGGAAATTGAAGGAATAGTTAAACTTTAGAATGATGCGTTCATGTCTCCAGGGAAGGCTACCGGGTGTTTTTTGACTGTCTGGCTGAGCACCGGGTGCCTCTGTTGATCTTCTCTGCGGGAGTCGGCGACGTCCTGGAGGAGGTGATCCGACAGAACGACGTCTTCCATCCAAACGTCCACATCATCTCCAACTACATGGACTTTAACCATGCTGTGTGTAACAACACCTACAACTGCTGATTTTCTACCACTCACTTTTTACTGTTTGGGATTCTGAGATTGTTCTTAATTCAGAAGAATTGTGTGAAAGGTTTTAGACACCATGTCAGGCTCATAATCTCAATCTGGGATCTATACCAACTCACTTTGTCTCATTATAAAGGGGATCCTCCAAGCCTTCAAAGGCCAACTGATCCACTCCTACAACAAAAGGGAAGGAGCTTTGTCCCACGCCACCGCGCTCAGAGAGCTGCACGGTCGACCCAACGTGCTGCTGCTGGGAGACTCTCTGGGAGACCTGAGCATGGCTGACGGTGTCTCTGAGGCCCAGAACATCCTGACGGTGGGCTTCCTCAATGATCAGGTGACCTAGACACTCTGGCTTTTATCACATCTTTCTCTAAAGCTGGGTCGCAAGGCAAGATTTTAAATTTTTCAGGTGATTTTTAAAACTTTGGAGATCCCAAAATATGACAATGAACCCCACAGCGAGCACAACACACCACAACGAACAGATTTCATGCAGAAAAATTCTAATATCATACAGGAAATTTCACAAAACCTCCCAGGATCAAACAGGAATTCATAGTAAATAAATGTGTCCAACTAAGAAACAAAAGAGATGTTTTGGACTAATTTTGATCCAGAAAAAAAACAACTTTTGTTTGAAAAGACATTGGTTAAAGGAGTGTAGGCAGAGTGAGCAGGGGCTCTACTTACTTTTTTTTTATTTCTCAGGGAGGAATGCTTTTTGATTGGCTATCTGCCGAGTTAAACGGGACAATCTAGATAGGATGTAGGACCAAAATTGCCCTGATAAACTTTCTGTGTTCAGAACTGTCCTGATAATCGGTGAGCAGACCTGATCAGTCTCAACACACAGCAAGTTCATCACCCAGATTATCGGGGCTGAAATGGGCAGGATTAACTTGACATTTAAAAATTATGTCTTTGTTTCTGGTCAGGTGGAGGACAGACAGGAGTCATACATGAACTCGTTTGACATTGTGCTTGTGAAGGATGAGACGATGGACGTCCCCAATGCCATCCTGAGATACATCATCTCAGAGACTAGAAAGGTGCACAGGAAAAAGGTGGACACTACTTGAAAATATAAATATATTGCCCATGTTTTATTTACATTGTGACCTCAATCCAGACCTCAGGAGTCACCTCATTTTATTTTGCCCTCTGTTTTCATTTTGCGTAAGCACCACAGGTGTTCTACTTTAAATGTAAACAAATGAAGAAGGTGTGTTATCTTGTGTGAGATCCTATTGTTTTCACATCAATGTGCTCCTTTTGGATTAGTTCCTTTCATGTCTGAACCGGGATGCTAATATGTTGTAAATCTCTCAAACTTTGAACCCAGAATTATATTAACCTTTTTTTTTTCTTTGCCTATTCTTGGTAAATGTAGGTACTTGATGTGTGTGTATATATAAAATATATATATATATATATATATATATATATGGTTAGTGTACAGAGGCTATAAATAAGGCTAAAGCAATGTTGCAATAAGCATTAAGCTCTTTTTAAGGCACAGAAATTGTAAATGATTAACTGTGGTGTTTAATGACTTATACCATCATAAGATGGCATTTTACTTAAGAATGGAATTCTTAAGTTGCACAAATGAATGCAGTGTTCTAGTCTGTAGTAATTTTTTAGTACTAAGAAAACTTGAAGTTATATTCAGCTTTTCTTAACCTCTAATTTAAGACTGAAGAGAAATCAAATATTTTCTGTAATAGTAGAAAATACCAGCAGCAGCACTATAAATCACAGCACATTTTTTCAACAGGGGGACAACAGTATGTCATGTTTCTCTTTTGAAAATGTAAACAAAATAAAATGTTTTTTTTTTTTTCAAAGGTTTATTAAAACATTCAGGGACACAAAAAAGGTGCTTGTTTTATTTTTAACACAAAAAAATCCTCCAGAAAAGATTGTTTTGCACAGTTTTTTTTCTCAAATACTGTAAATAAACGGTGAGGCTGGGTACGAGCTGTAGCTTGTTTTTATCGTTTGTCCCTGAGAGGAAATAAAAGCCTTTTTTCCCTCCTCACAACTCTTCGTGTTTCGTTTGCTCCCGTTCCTTGTCCTCTTCGACTTTTAGTTTGAGCTCATTGACTGTTATCACGCCATCTTTGTTGCGGTCCTGGTTTTGAAACATGTCGGCCACAATTTCCTCCATGGTCATTCCTGGCTTTATCCGTCCTTTTCCTTCTGCAACCTGCAGCTTGATAAACTCCCCAAACTACGGTCAAAGAAAAGACAAAGGTAATTAAACTACAGGGCATATTGGTTCAAAGCCATTATATCCTGTTTGATCTCATTTCCATTATATTCAACTTCTATGGTGAATTGTCTGACAATGTTGTTCCTATGACAACCACCAGGTGGTGTCAAAGACAATTGATGAAACTTTTTCCTCACTCTAAACTAACATAATGAATTTTTACACTAAAATCAATAGTAGAATTTTTTCCCAGATCAAAACGTATTTAAGTTTTCTAACATTTACCACAAATGCATCAAATTAATTTATTATAATACGTTTTTAGCAGCACTGCTGTAATTTAATTCCACAGACTGGACTAGTATAGGACATACCTCTTCCAGCGGCACCTCTCCGTTCTTGTTCAGATCCATGGCTTCAAACAGATCTGCAGGAGTGTCGTCAAGCCACACGAACAGGTAACCAGGTGGGACACCTTTCTCAAAGCTCACCATTTCGATGTTGAAGACCAGCACTGCACTGCTTGGTACGCCAGCAGCTGAAGCACAACAGGAGACCAACTTTAGGTTATAGGAACTACGAAACATTTTTATTTACATATACATAATTCCATACTCTTAATTCAGTGGGTAAGTTAAGCCAAGTTTCCTTTCTTCCATCCCTAATTTAACGTTAAGATGCCTACAGCTATATGGAACAACTGTTTTAAGTGAGGAATATGTTTCTGAACTTGGTGAGGCTAGCTTTAAGATTAGATTTAATGTTGGCTTATTCTGAAATCTTGGAAAGGGTTAATTAACTGAGAAATTCCATGCTTCGTTAGATTCTTCATATACATGACATCTCCACAAAAACATGTTTTTTGCATGTATGTATTCGATAAAATGGACGCATATTTTTTCTCACCTCCCCTCTCTCCGTGTCCGAGGTGAGGCGGCACTGTAATCCTCCTCTTCTCCCCGACACACATGCCCCTCAAGCCCTCATCCAGCCCATCGATCACCTTGTCCTGTCCCAGAGCAGCTTCCTGTTGGTTCTCGTAGTCGTCTCTTTAGAAGGAAATGCCATTTAAATCAAAATGATTCTTGAGTGGTTAAAAAGAGGTTGATAGATACTCACGAGGAGAAGAGTAGAGTCCCGTCCATCAGGGTGCAGTTATAATTGTAGCGCACCAGGTCGTTGACAGCAGTGGTGTCGTTGCACACCTCTGGTTTGTAGGTCACCTCGATCTCCACCTTGTCGCTGGGGTTATGGAAGTCGATGACGTGGATGTCGAAAACCAGAACGGCAGATGGAGGGATCACATCGCCTGAACAGACCACCGAGAAATTATTTCATCCTTCTGGAAAGACTTCATGGATTCCAACTACATTGATGTTAATGAGATTTTTTTTTTTTTTAAATAGTGCCATGACTAACCAGCTCCTTGTTCTCCATAAGCAAGGTGTGGAGGAATGATGACCCTCCTCTTTTCCCCTATGCAGACTCCCAGCAGGGCCTGGTCCATACCTGGGATCACGTAGCCCATCCCAATGTAGGTGTTATATGTGCTGTTTCTCTGGTAGCTGTGATAAAAAAAAAAAAATAATTGCAGAGACCTTGCTGGTTAAAAAAACGTTCAAATTCAAGACATGACTTAAGAAAACGATGATCCACGCTGGGATATGAGCACACCTGGTGTCAAAGGTCACTCCATTCAGGAAGGTCCCATTATAATGGTACCGGATGTAGTCCCCCGGCACAGACTTGCGAGTGCAGGACTCTGGAACATCCTGGTAGTCGATGGTGATGTTATCATTTGGGTTATAAACGTCTTCTAAGAGGACGTCAAAGACCAACGTAGCCTGAGGGGGAATCATTGTGCCTGTAAAAGAGGAGCGTTTAACAAATCAGAACCCAGGAGTCCTGTTATGAGCACCTCTTAGGAAAAACACATTTAGGAAGGAATAATTTGCTTTTCCATCTTTCATCAGCATAAGTTTAGAAAAGTAATTCATGGTAAAGAAAAGTTGTTTATTTCTTATACATTATATTTTATTGTCTTTCCTTCTAATGTGTCACCATAGAAAGGGTTATGTGGCATAAAGTAACAGTCTCCACCCCCCGTGGTTGCACACTATTTGAAAAGAAATATACATATGTATTTATCTTTTATTAAATAATTTCCAGCTGCAAAAATCCTGAACAGTCATGGTGTAGAAACTAAAGCAGCACAACACAGTGCATTAAGGTAAGGCTGAATTAAGCTAAGTAGGAGCAAACAACTTCCTGAAGATTGGATACCAGAGTGAAAAGCAAAGCTAATTAACCAGCTAATGCTTATAAAGCTTCTGTTTTAAGAGCATGACTGAAGAGCATTTGAAATTTTGCTCAATAAACTTAATTTCTTTCATTGTTTTCCATTTCAGAAAGAGAATGTTTTCATTTATCAGACCTTTGTCATTCTTCCACAACAATTTAATGACAGATAAGTATGAGAAATTATGGTTTTCACTTAATTTAAATGATTCTGTTATGTTAAACTTTAAATCACCAATTACAACCATAACAGGAACATTTTTGGTTTGGACAAGTTTACTCTTTAATTTATTGGTCGGACCTGGAAACATCAATTTCAGTAGCAGCAGCATAAAATGTGCTTTCTGTGCATTCACTCCTCATTTCTCAACATAAAACTAGAATAATTTTGAAAATAAAGGAAAAGATAAATGTAATTTATCTGCACTAACAACTGAATTAAGGCACTGATTCTATGAAGAGGTAATTGGAGAATAAAATAAAAATACTTTGGTGATATACATTTTCTAGAAATGCCGAGATGAATGAAGATATTTATTTTATTTGTTTTACATTGTGAGAAAAGATCTTGCAGATACTTATACAATGTATTGGGAAGTCCATAAACTTTTTACATTCTGTCGTCTTAAAACCGACACTTAAGTGTTTTTTTTATTTGCAGGACCAATACAATATGATAGATATTATGGAAAGTAGAAGGAAATAGATGGAGCATTTTTTAAGGAAGCTGTTGGTTTGGTTGGAGGAGACTACAACTCACTGGCCTACATGTGGAAAGCTAGATGTGGTGGAAAATTTATGCTGCAGATCCCCCTGAATGTGGGGATGTTTTCTTTAATTACCAGCAGGGGGAAGGAAGCTGCTCAGAAACAATTGGGGGATGGATAAATGTAAAAACAGGATAATCCTCAGAGAAAACCTGTTAAAGGCTTAAAAAAAAATCAGACGGATGTTTACAGAAGCTCTCTCTTTTTGCTGTTTCAACAAAGTAGACCTTTAAGGCTGAATACATATAAATGTCATATTTTTAAGATTTGTATTTGCAAAAACAAACATAAAACCCATATAACTTTTTTCTTCTGCTTTAAATATACCTTCTACATAATTTTTCTGTCACATTAAATCAGTAAAATATAAACAAAAGGAAAGAACAAGGAGGAAAATGTAATGCATAAATCAATAGTTAAAAACTAAATATTTAATTAAATGTAAAAAAACATAAATAAATGATAGAGGATTGAAAGTAACTGATTGTAAAAAGATGGACCTTTCTTACCTGATCCTTTTTCTCCATAAGCTTTGAATGGTGGAATAACGATGTGTCTGATCTCGCCCACACACATCCCCAACAGGCCCTCGTCCAAGCCTTTGACCAGCCAGCCTTCGCCTACCAAGGAGTTGTGGGTCTGCTTCCTGTTGTAGCTACGCGGGGCTCACACAAGCGCAAAGTCAGACACATAACTTGTCACAGACAACACACCTGGACACAGTGCAGACACACACAGGCTGTCATTCTTTGCTCTACTTGATTTGTTTATCATTTAGCTGGATGCTCATTCCAGTTTAACTCCCAATTTATAAACAGGAAAGCTCTCCATTATACAACCACATTCCCGAAATCACCTGGAGTCAAAGACGGTTCCGTCGAGCAGAGTGCCGTTGAAGTGGTAACGCACAAAGTCTGTACGCATCACTGAGCGCTTGCAGTCCTTGGGAGTACTGACTGTTTTGGTGACGACCAGGTCTTCCTTGTTCCACAGATCCAAGAGGTGGACGTTGAAGACCAGCGTGGAATCTGGAGGAATCACATCCCCTGGGGAAAAATGGTCAAAGCTTAAAATGGATGTCTGGGAAATCTGCTTTCATGGAAGGTTTTCATGGAATTACATGGGATTTATCCCCTAAAGTAGGTACTTCCTATTTACTCGTTTTGTGCATTTGGATATAAGCAATCAGTAATGCAAACACTTAATTGGTGGCAGCACCATACAGTGGAGAGACATTACAAAGCAAAGTTGGTGAGTTGATGGGGAGGTGGGTAGAGGTAAATATAGGGTAATCCAGATAAGTGGCTGTGAAAGATTTGAGACGGAGGCGGTGGTTTGTGTTCCAGGGGGACCCTTAAAGTACTGCCAGAACCATAATGGAGGTGTTTGTACTCAAAACATATCCATGAGAATGGCCTAGACCAATCTAGACATAAATTCAATCAGGACTCCATAGAAACTTAAAAAAATATGTTCAAAGATGGCTGCTGTCCAAACCAACAATTTTAGATGACGGGTGCGAAGTCAGTCTGACTGGACAGGCTAAATGGAGGCAAAGATTGCAGTTTTCCTGCTTTTCTCCAATCTTTAAAAAGCCTGACCAGAAATTCCCATTTTTCCAAAAACCCCCTTTTTCATAACTAATACCATCAGGTATTAAAAGGTCTCAATACACTATGAAAGTTGCAGTCTTAATTCTTAGAAAAACGTTGAACAATACCAGCAAAGCAACACAAACTGAGGTAAAGTTAAATAAAGTTTATA